TCCTTGAATTCCCCTCCCGAAGGGTTCTTAAATCTAAAAAAAAAAGTGATCACTCCCTTCCACTTGGGATCGTCGCTCGGGAATTATATGGTTTTTCTATCCCTCATGCTTTGAGGTTTGCTTCTATTTGTCGTTTTGTCCACCCAAGCGTACGTTTCGGATTTCCTTTACAACACAAACAACCCCCTCCTCCAACCCACTATACACCCAACCATCTTTCTTTCCCCTCATAGACCTCCCTTCCATGCCGCGTTGAGTGACTACTTTCTGTCGCTCTACTCACCCTGATATAATCAGCCGTCTTATCCTGCGGATCATCTTGACTCGCCGTGTCGTTGGCCGGAATTCGGGGAACCCTAAAAAAACTTTGACCGATTCCAAAACATAACAACACCAGAAAATTTATCGGACGTGACGTTGACCGATGGCTTAGAAAGGCAGAGCGATGATTAGCTTCAGGGTGGAACATCATTCAGATTCTTCGAGACTTCGTCAAGACCACCCTCACCGCGGAAACCACACCGGATCGTTAGACGGCAATGCCGATTGCCAGTGAGAGCAGTAGTACCACCACCACCATGACCACTTTCTCCGCCCCGGTCCCTGCTACTAAATCGCTGCCCACAAACCAGTCAGCGTTAGCGGCCTCCTTCACCAATTTCCTCACCGTCTCCGTTCATCAAATCCTATTTCTGCGCTCAGTCTATCCACGTGCAACCTTCCTCCCTGTGCGGGCATACAACTACCCTGTTCGACAATCCCGTCACCCAAAAGTCTGTGACTACATTAACGATGCTTCAATCGCAGTCGGGACGGAGATTCTCAAAGGCACAATCACCGCAGTCAGTATCATCATTTCATCTCTTCGCACAAATCAGCCCCTCGAACGATATGCGTTTGATCTGTCGGGCTTTCCGCGTGCCCCTGCCGGAGAGGTGAATACTACATTTGAAGACAGAAATGAAGATTCATCTAATACAGGTGCCCCTGTCTCAGACCGGGGCCCCGCACCAACATCGGTTGATCTCGAGGCACAATTCCGGGCATGTCTAGCGAGACTCGCGTCAGCCTGTGCCCGGTTGACCCCTCTTCCCCGCGATGACGAGTTCAGTTTCACCGTCTGCATTGAAGTGCGGGAAGATGCTTTACCACCAGCGGGGACCACCAAGGAAGAACAAACTTGGATTGTGGCAGAACCGGGCAAAGTGCACCTACGATCATGCACTGCACCATTTTCCGTCTCTAAAGTACGAAATGGCGAACCCCAGCAAGTGCCCCCTAAGGTCTCGAATGGCCGTGCCAAAACAGTACCTGTACGACGTGTCGAAGCCGGCGAGCTTCGGTTGGAGTTGTGGGTAGAAGAGGCACGACAGAAATTTAACGAACCGGTGGACTCAGAGCAGCCACCATGACCTCGAAATTCTCCGATCCTATTTTAGGCTTTTGGGGGAATTCATGTTCTTTGGTTTTTTTTTCTTTCTTTTTCTCCGTTCTCTTCCTTATCTTCTCCCCCCCCCTTGACCACCCCCCCAATTCTGTCTCATTCTTGATTTAGCGTGACCAATGATCGAACATACATGATGGACGAAGGAAATTCTGGAATTGCCGTCCACAAGAAGTGGCGCAAATACATAAAACGGGGAGCGGACGACTTTTGGGACTCACATGGCATTTATTTACATAGATCAGGTTCATATCTTTCCTTTTTGGTGCTTCGTTCCAAGTGCTTATTCTTATCTCCCTGCTCTTCTTCCTATTCTCACTTTCATGACGCTCCTTCTCCATCCTTCTTTTCTTATTTTTCTCCCTGGCTTTTTCATAGCTTTCCATTTACTCCATTTTGCATCTTGCCTGATCCCTTCGGTTTTGTCTTCTCGCTCATCTTTTTTTGCTGCGGTCCGGCCTTTTTTTTTTCTCTCTCATACCATCTCCCATTTTTCCGTTGTATTTCATTCGTCTCCTTTGTTGAAATCAACTACATGATTCTCCTAGCCAATTCAACTATACTACCAACTAGTTCCCAATGTCTCCTCGCTATCTTCTCGTTTTTGCGTTTTTCTATATCTACTCTTATGCTGATGAACCCAGTGGAGATGATTCCGTTCAAAACGAAAGTCCCTTATGCCATAATGTCTGTTGTGTCACAAAGTTTTATCTGATTTTGGTTTTCTCTGTTCGTGTCATTTGATTTAAATTTCAACTACACTATCTATGTTTGTTGCGCTTCTGCTTAATGTCCTGGATCTGCCTGATGAAATTAGGCCGCTAGGCCCTCGGGGTGGGGGGTGACTATGTAAGTGTGCTAGCCAGATATCCAGTTTAGGTTAATGGATACCGTTGAAAATATAGGAAGCTTACGCTTTGTCTATCCCCGAGAAATCATTATCTACTTGTGTGATCAAAGCCAAGAGAGAGAGATGGAGCTGCGGTCTAAAGGTGAGACCGGGCAAACGTTCTGCCAAGAGGAACAGAGCAAAGACATTTGACTGCATTTATTATAACATCTGGAGAGACGTTACTTGGGCTTCCAAGGTTGTGAAGTACAATGGAGTAAATCGATATCAAAGAACCAGTGGGGTTTACCGAAAAAGGAAATAAGTACATAAATAGAAATCCAATCAGCCTTATACTAGTTGACATATACGTAGCACTCACCGTTCAATAAAGATTTTGAACTGCCTCTATAATTCTCATATCAATTCAAGTTATGATATGCGAACCAACCAGTTATAGTTATTAACGTTTAATGGATAGACGTGGGTCGAGGAATCCCTACCTAGGTATAATGTGAACTAAATTCAACATCAAGTCCTTATGAAGTCCAAATTCAAAGTTGATAGAACTAAAGAAGACTGTTGGGTTCGGATACCGGTATATAAGTCCACTGGTAGGTCAATGATCTATTAATGTAAAGTAGAATGTATAAACATGGTCGCGTGAGCCTCAGTCCCCACACAGTGATGGGAAGCATCATTGCATAAATTCTACCTACAGAACGTCACAGCATTGATCTAAAACATTTGAAGATCAACACTCAACACAACTTGTGTCAATAAATATGACATAGTCGCCAAGGCTCACATGACCCGTTGAAACCCTCCGCGGAAGGCAAAAGACCCCGGGGCTCTTACGTCAACCTTGGAAGGACCTCTAAGAACCAACGTAATGCAACCTCCGTCGCTTGTCATCGCTTTGCTTCGGGCCAGTGACAAAGAGAAACATGGTCTGCCTTTTTTTATATTTAATTTGTATGAATATGGCAGGCAGATCCGGCCCTGATAGTGATGCAGAATGCGAGGGGGTAATAGGATGGATTGAGTGTGGTTGGTCCAATTGTAGTGATTTAGATCGGGAGAACATACTATCCATGGATGTTCGTGTGACCCATTTGTGGTTATTATCTTTGCCCAGATGGAGAATAGAAAGTTAGAAATGACCAGTATATTATGACATCGGGGCCCCGTCGGTCCACGGGTATCTGGTGGATTTTGGCTTTCTTTTTTTTGTCGGAAACATCTTCAAACTTTGGACTTTATAACCCCGGATTACCTCTCTTCTATTATATCTTTGCGCTTACATTTGGTTTCCCCCCTTTTGACATTCCCAACTTCAACAACTCATACTTCACCTGTGCTCAACTCGACATGATTGCCGCAGAAATCCCCACCCTCCCCGCAGGGGAATCCCCAGACCTGATCCTAGTCCCAGCTACAGCCTCAGAGCGCATTGCCTCAATCAAGCTGAACAGTGTCGCCTGGAAAGGCCCACTAGATGTGCAAACATACATAGAACGCGAGAACCATCTCCTCCAGCAACGGTTGACGCGCGACGGCCTAACCTGCTGGATCCTAGTGGACCGCAACGAGCCCGAGGACAAGCGCACAATCCTCAGTTCATGCGAGTCGTACCGGAAGACAGCGCTGCTTGCGCATGACGGGCAGGTAGAGAAGGTTTCCACGCACGGCGTGGGGAGTGTCTACTGCCGACCTGATTTCCGCGGGAAGGGGTACGCAAAGCGGATGCTAGAGGAGCTGAGCACTAAACTTGAGACGTGGGAAATGGAGAAAGAGCCACGGCAGAAGTCGTTGTTTACAGTGCTTTTCTCGGATATTGGGAAGAAGTTCTACGCCCAGTTTGGGTGGCGGCCGTTCTCGTCTTCCCATATGTCTTTACCGGCTACTACGGGTGGGCTGGAGAAGGCTGTCACGAGGGATCTATTTGCTGAGGATGTTCAGAAGAGTTTGTGCAGTGAGACTGTGCTTGCCAAGCTGCGCGACCAGATGCGTCTCGCCTCGCAGAAGACGAGTGGTGCTAAGATTGCCATTTTCCCTAACTTTGATCACTTTGTCTGGCATTGGGCTCGAGAGGAGTTTTACGCTGAGAACTTGATTCCTGAACGCTCCCCGCCTGTAGTCAAGGGCGCTGGTGATGACCAGGCTCGCGTATACTGCGCTTGGAACCGGAACTTCGGTGAGGCACCCGAGGATAATGTCCTCTACATTCTTCGGTGGGTGTATGATGAACCCACATCTCCGGTGGAGGAGCAGGCCACTGTTCAGGCTATGGCTGCTATCCTGCGGCGAGCACAACAAGAGGCGCACGAGTGGAACATGAGCAAGGTTGAATTCTGGAACCCTACTCCCCTTTTGCAGAAGGCTGTGGCTTTGGTGGAACCGAAGGCTGAGCTTATCCACCGCGAAAAGGAGAGCATCGCCAGTTTACGGTGGACTGGCGAGGAGCAAGGGTTGGGCAAGGATGTGGAGTGGTGGTTGAATGAGAAATACACTTGGTGCTAATCATTCATTCGTTGGAGCATCATTTCGAGGTTTGTTTCTTTGTTTGCTCGTGATTTTTCCCACTTTCTTTTCCCGGAAGTGCGGCATCGAGGCGAGTTTGGGTGGCAGATATGATCGTGGTGCTTCTAGATACGCGCGCATCATATATTTAGATGCCATTGCATTTTACGCAGCAAGTGCGTCAGGGGGTCTTTTTTTTTGCAATCAACGGCGACCTTTGAGCAGTTCGTGCCAATTTCTGGTATTCTTAGCCTTCGCAGCCGTGGCTGGCGCAGAGGCAGTTTTACTGGTTGGCTGCCGTTGCGAGGGTTCAACAAAACATATAGTCGTAGGGTCAGGACTGTTGTAGCAGCCGTTCTGTAGTCAAAATCAGCTATTGCGTCGCAGCTCATGGAGGAAAGGTCGAGTTACCGGTAATTTTGACAGGGCTACCTCTCCTCTCCATGTCTCAGGCAGACAATCCTTCCACGCCCGAAGCAATTCACTTCTTCCAATAGCAGACGACGTAGTTGGAGCAGTGGCAGCCAAGTATGTTTCGCCAACCCATTGTGTGCACTCAACCTTATCAAAGCTCGCCCCTAGAGAACATCACAAAATAATTAGCCAAGTTCGATACTTGAAGACACATCCCACCGTTTATTTTTGACTCACATTTAATATCATCCGACAAAGGCGGCCGTTCATCCGCAATGCAGATGCGCCTCACAACAGCCTCCAGCAATGCACGTGGAAACGGCAGCTCCATCTCCTCATCATCTACAACAGACTTCCACAAGTCCCCAACGAGAAACTGCTTCTCAAGATCAATGCCTTGCAAAATAGCACCATCGACCAACCGCTTCCAAACAGCCAAACGAGACCGCGCCGAAGGCCGCCAACATGCCACCTCCTCAGCCCCATCTACAAACGCACAAAGCTCCATCCAACCCTGCTCACACTGCGCCGTCGACATAGGGATATCCTGATACACATTCTCCCTGGCCGAGCGCATCTTTTTGGATCCCAGCGGAGCAGTGGGGTCAGCAGAGCCGCCCATCGCTATGTCCCCGTCATCATCACTGCGCCGGTCATAAAGCCGTAGACTCTTCTCCAGGAATGGGATGACTGAGAACCCTCCCGGTGGGATGTGCAGTTCCAGCGTCGATGAACACTTTGAAATGGCCGTTACAGCTTCATCTGGAAGGTTCAATGCCCCGCTTTCGCCGGCATCTTCTTCAACGACTTTGATGTCTGCTTGGGAGATTTCGCCGCGACTTGGGCGGAGAATATGTAGGGAGTTTGAGGATTGAACTTGGCGGATGCGGTAAGTTTGTGTGGGTGTGCATAGGTTGACGTAGTCGTGGGCGGTAGGGTCGATTACTGCTTGTGCAAGGGCTGTAGAGGGTGATTTGAGCTCGAGTCTGGAAGGCGTCGCGAGTTAGTCGAGGGCTGATAATTAGGGATAGCGGAGGGGAGGGTGGTTATTTTGAACTTAGAAGCGTGTGGGTTGCTCCTGGTCTGCTTGCATCCTTGCTCATTTCGTCGACTTACACAGGTGCATCTTTCGACGTCAGTAGTTCTTCCAGCTCTGGGGTAAGTTCTAGTAGCCGGAACCCTTCCTGGGGGCGAGTATGTGTGAAAAGAATACCGCGCGAGTCTTGAGTAGACATTGCAGGTTACAATGTGTATAGGGTATGTAAATCGAAACGAAGTGAGAATTGACGAAATGAAGCATCGACTTCGGACGCGTTGACGCGAAGTGGAGACACGCGGACCACCGCCTAAGAGGTCTACGGGGTGTTCGGCTTCATCCGATGTTCATTGTAGCCCTAGAGGGTCTTTATGTTACAGTTACATTATTGGGCCGATTTAAAAGTCACATATTACATTGTATGCGTTGAAAGTCGTTTCTCATCTGTTACATCCTTTTCGCCGCACATATTCTACATTTTGCGGCTAATTATTTCTGTACTACCAGCTACAACACCATAGGTCAGATTAGAACCACGTCGCCAAGGACAATAGGTCGTATAAGTAGCCGACTCCTTGTGGGTGAATACATTGAATTAAACTCGTCAATGTTTTGCTTTTGTATGGTCGAAATTATTGCTCTTCATGACACACCAACCGTTATACTTCGCCGTGACTCCGTAAAAAAGAGAAATAACTCCCCAAATATAAAAAGAAATATGCAAGAATGGAACAAACGTGAAAAGCAAAGCCCCTACACCCACGGAGCTTGGACATAAATATGCCCTAGTCTAAACAAATAGTCTTCCCAGATAGGGAGATGAGACATTCAACTTGCATACGAAAATACAATATCCCGAATACAATGCGTGATCCAGCCGGCTGGATCAAAGAAGCCGGGAGAGAAAGCCAGTCAAGGATCATTGCTTGGCTTTCTCGACTACTTCAGCTTTTTCGGCTTGGTGGACTGTCTCAGCTTGGGCTTTCAAGTGACCCTGAGTAGGATCCATAGTGTCTTCAATGGGCTGACCAGCCGGGCCTTCAGCGGAGCCTTGCACTTCTTCGCCATCAACAGTTTGATCGGTACCTAGGGACTTGGACTGAGTGCTGTCCTTTTGCCCCGCTCGTTCTTGTTCTTCCTTTTCGCGAGCCAATCGCTCCACCTCCATTTCTTCCATATGCCGGAGATCATCGACACTGGGCTCGTATAGATGCCAAATGGTGTAGTGTGGTAGTCCAATCACCGAAAACTTCATCCGTTTAGCCATCTAGGAAACATTAGCAATTGTAGCCACCGGCTCGTTGATTACTATCTTACCTTGCCAAACCCTTCCGTCTCGGCATGTTTCTCGAAACTGAAGGCTGGGAAGTGTACACCAGCACGGAACACCCGGGCTTTGGCCAGGATACTGACACCTCCGATCCCGTCCAGCTCCATCTCCATGTCTGGATCACCGTAGGGATCGCGGAGGTAGGCAAGGTGAGGCCTCCATGTAGCGTACTCGGCATATCCTTCCACGATGACAGCATCCTCATCCAAGGTATCCGCAAGTGCCAATGCAGTCTCGGATTCTTGCCAGGAGTTCAGATCGTAAGGCTGCTCTCCGCCAAGCCAATCTGGAAGCGGGCGCCAGACATCTGCAAAGCCAGTTAGTATGGATCCAGATGCTCAAGCAATAGTCACCACTCACTCGGGACTGTAACATCCTTGTTGTGCCGCATTAGATCCTCAATGATGGTGAACGGAGCGGTCTCCACGTCCGCGTCTCTCCAGTAGACCCAGCTGTGGGTTGGGCGAAGTGTTGCGCTCAGCAACCAATTTCTGGCCTGCGCCATCAGCTTACGTCGGTTCGCCTGCGCCTCAAATCCATGTCGACTTTCTACATCCTGTTGGACTTTCTGTCCGAAATCCTTCTTGATCACGGAAATCTCCCCAAAGGGCATTTTCGGGTCCTGGTCATTTTGTATGTCCTCCAACATGCGCGACAGCATGCCTAGGGTGTCATCCCGGGAGTCCGATACCAGAAATGCCAGATCAATTAGGTGGTGTGGGTATGTGAGGTTTCGAAGGTGCGAGAAAAACATCGGGAGGTGCGACGAGGCATCACGGAGCGGGGTGCACATCAGGACACGCTCTCCACGTTCCCAGCCCTTCTCAGTCCCCTGTACTTCAGATAAATCATAATATCGGACCGTCTGTAGGTGTAGATCTCCGGGGTAAGAGAGAAGGCCGAGCGAGATGGAGGGAAGGATGGCGGCGCGCCAGGACGGGAAGACCAAGAGGAACAGCACTAGCGACACACCGCCAAGGAGGCAGAGGCGTTGGAAGAGCTGCCGGCGTCTCCGAAGGGCGGGTTGCGAGCGAGGCTGGAACCTGGGAGAGCGAAGACATCCTAGTCAGTCTCGATTTCAAGCTTCATGATCTGGCATGACGACAAGGCTCGGAGCTCGGACAATGAGAAGCGAGCTTATCTCGAACTGGGTGGTTCGGCTTACCTGTTCGGTGAATTTGAAAATGCAGAACCCCTGGGATAAGCCGAGTGGCCCTTTTCGAGAACGTGTCGGTTCATCACTGCGGGCGCGGCCGTCGAGGCGCTTATGTCGGGAGCCAAGATCTGATATAGCGGCCGGAGACCCCTAGTGACAACCCCAATTTTGAAAAGGTTAGATGTAGAAAGCTGGAAGGAATGAAAGTCTTATGAAAAGACTGAAATAACAAAAAAAAAAAAAAAAAAAACAGGAAGCAAAGCGAAAGAAGCGAAAGAACCTTGGAAGACTTGTGATCCAAGGTCTTGGTCTGTTGTGGTCACCAAATCCGGTCATCCGCTTGCAGTAACCGTCTGTAGATGAGACGATAGGACAGGTACATAAGTACTTTATAAACATGATTCGACATTGAAATACACAAAAGATCAAACGCTTTGATTTTGCTAATTGGCTTCGCTAATTTGATATACAAAAAGTGTGATCCCCCAATGCTAAAATGTCCATATAATTTTATCCCTTCATAGTGTAAGTGTAGGAGGCGAGATCATGGTCAAACGAGGTCGAAGAGGAGGCGAATCCATCTCCTTCGTTTCCACTTCAATCATTTGCATCATCTGCATTAATAGTTTGTTCACTTTTTCCCCATCACGCAAGCTCGGCAAGACGGATGCGGCCTCGTAATCGCTGTCGAGAATAAAGTAGCGTTCCTTTTGCCAGTTCTCCACCGCGTCGATGTGGAATGCAACTCTAGCAACCGCCTTGGCTGGAACACTGGCCTTATTCATGGAGCTTCGGGATACCATGCGCAGGAATGGCCGAAGTCCGGACCGAGTTTGGTGTGCGACTCTGACCGACATAGGGGCCCCGGTCCGCAGAGTGCTCTGGCCAGTCATGCCTCCTGGATCCAAGGTGAAGATATCGAGCGATATATTACCGGTCTATAATTAGATTTTATTAGGAAATCGGGAAATGAATCGGGAACTCCGAATTGTTAACTTACCCAGATCAAGCTCCGCCTCAATGCATATAATGCAACACTGGCCATTAACTTGCTGCTCCCAAGACGAACGTTCTCTTCCTTTGCGCTCAGCGCAGTTCCCGGTCGCCTTCCGTTTCTTCCATGGTCGAGATCGAAATAATCCAATCTTCCGGAAGATATCGCCGAACAGCCGATGTTGATCACCTTAGCTCCGCCCTTTGGTGTACCATCTCCAGCCCGGAAAGCCTCGAGCAGTCCAATAGTCAATGAAAATGGAGATAAACAATTTGTCTGATACACAGGGTCATAGCCATCTGATGTGAGATCATCAATAACGTAAGATGTAGCAACGGCAGAGTGAATTAGACTGGTTACAGGCGGAATGTCTCTGAAGCGAACCCGATGGACGGTGGCTTTGGCGAACGATGCGACGGATGTCAAATCGGTCAGATCAAGAGCAAGAACCTCGATCGACCTGGGGCCGATCAAGCGGATCTTCCCCATCAGTTCGCGGACATCGTCGGTCTTTATATCTCTTGCAGTCAATAATAGATGAACGAAAGGTTGCTTCTTCGCAATCTCAATAACGATCTCTGAGCCCAACAACCCATTTCCACCGGTAATAATAACCGTTTCTGTAAGTGGTGTACTCATAATGACTTCTGTTTGGCAACAATCGCCGAGGGTATAATGTAGGCAGGGTTCCACAGTAGAAAAGAAAAAGTGGCCAAAAGAGTACTTGTACTGGGTATTAGATGCCAAATATAGGGATGAGAGAAAAGATAATGGAATACTGGGTGACAAAGGGAATTAGAACTAAAGAAGAAGGGAGTAGTCAAAGCGTAGCCCAAGTGAAAAGGTGCTATATACCTAAACAGTGGGATCTAAAAATTCTCCAACCCGCCCCATATGGATCCAATGCAGTAGAATAGACCAATGAGTTATATCAGACATGGGCGGTGTCATGTCTCAGCTCACGGCTCAGGCGTGTTTTTTTTTCTTTCCCAGAAAATGACGATATTAGATGAATCAGATGCGAACACTGACGTGCTGCCTTAGTGTCAAATAACGAATGGTCAAAACCTCTATGATCTTCCTGTCTGATGCGTGGCATGACGACTAACTTTTTTTTACGAAATACTCCGTACCCTTGCAGTAAATGAGTAAATGCCGTAAAATTAGAACCAAAAAAAAAAAAAAAAAAAACAGTGGGGATAGTTAGCTCGCATTGGCCTGGAACTCGCGCAAACCCATCTTGCCGATCAATCATAGATCATGGATCCGGACTAAAGATCTGGGCAATGTCTCGAATAGAGGTATACTAGTACATTGCCTGGATCTTTAGCCGGGAGGCGTCAAGTAAAACACTCCTCTTTCCCCACTGACAGCAATGCCTGGACATCTTCTCCCAAGTCAGCCAAGGGTAGCCCTGGGATCACCCCACGTTGTCCGTACGAGGGGCTGCAAAGTAACCAGAATGCATAATAACTCCATTAGACCCGATCGAAAGCGGCATCAACGTTTCGTGGAACATGGAAATGAAACAAAACCGAAACGAAAACGAAAAAAAGAGCCAAAACAATGGGAGTTTCAGACAAAATAAATTCTAAAAGACAAAGTAATGGCGTCACCCGCAGCTAACACAGATTAGTCACAATGTGCGCATTAATATAGTGTCATGGCCTATGCTGTTGTGATTGTTGCTTATAATATTGAATTATAACAGCGATATGCTATATTGATATCTGAAATTGGACTGAATTGCCTTCTTTGGCTACATTTGACGCCATTTTAAGCGTCCTATTTACTAGAATATTAGTCATGACTGAGTGCTTAGGTCAGCTCATGTTGTATCTTAACTAGTGTGGTCCCTAGCGGAGTCTAGGGCCTAGTATATATACCGTTGCAGTGACAATCGGGGGTTCCGATTGTCTCTATGATCTTTTGGCAGAGTGGTTAAATGCTTTTGTGTAATCACTTAGGTGCAACGGCCTAAGTTCCTGGAAAGATTACATTAGGGCAGGTCGCGTGTAGCCACTCATTACAAAAATAGAATGGCTCTTTGTCAGAGCATGTTTATTGAGCTGACTAGGCAGCTCGTGAATTGTATTAGCCTTTGTGTATAAGTTACTAACCCTCAGACCTGTGCGACACTGACTCTGCCCTGAAACGAGGAACGAGTGAAGGGTTACTATCCTGCACGAGCTGCCCGCAACCCTTTGGTGGAAAAGAGTTCTCTTTGAAGCTACCCTAGCAAAGGTCTGTTAAGAGAACCAAGGCCGGTTAGATCTATGATGATGATAATACTAACGGTGGGTGATAGAAACATAGCTAGTACTACTCAGACAAGGTGAATCACCCGAAATGACAGAGTATCCTCTCTAGGTCAATCGGGGGGAAGTCCTATCGGCAGGCTGCGTACTATTTATTGTATTAACCTTGGAAGCTAGCCCAGCTTACTACTCCGTTTCCAATTTCGGCCCCGACTCCGACTAAGAATTCTTGTTACGACACCTGTTGAAGTATATATAGAGGTCTGGTCTCCTATGTGATACAACCTTGCTGGTAATAATATTATTTTTTTGGCTTGATTTCTGCATTTTATTACTATCATGCTTCTCGGTGGATGTTACGCTTAAGTGGTGCTCTTTAACAGACACTATACACAAGCTTGGTCAAGCTCGATCTGCATTATCACTGTAGTCCACCTTTTCGGCTGAGCCGACTGGGGGCAGCCCTACTGCATCTTAGGCAAGAAGATCCGGCTTGCCCTGAATTACCTGATCTAGCTGGAATTCCCTGTTTTATATCGCATGTAGCTTGTACAAAGATTGGTGCATAGTCAGGATAGTTAGTAGAGGAACAAGTGATTACAGATGATCAAAACCAAAAATTGAAATACACTGCAGAGACACACATGAGTCAACCAGGTGCTTCATGCAGAAATGTCGACTAGGATCTTCACATGCGTATCTCTCTGTTCGATGAGAGCTTTGAAACCCCTCTCATCCACATCCTCCATTCGGATCTTACTAGTGATCATTGGGTGAGGCTGAATACTACCTGTACCAACGAAGCAAGAGGTCAGCAGAGGATACATACCTAATTAAGAAGTGAAGACAGAAATTGGGTAGAGGTCGAGCATACCGGAAGCAATCGCATCAATCACAGCCTCAAAGTCACCATCATCATAAAGAGCAGCCCCCGCCACATGCTTCTCCTGGAAGACAACGGCAAAGGAATCAATAGTAGGCCTGTGTTCCCACAAGGAAACGACGACCGTCGTCCCACGCACCCGAAGACCAGATATCGCAGTATCGAGGCCAGCTTGAACCCCAGAACACTCGAACGCAACATCTGCACCCAGATTCCCTGTCAAAGCACGTATCCGCGTAACCGCATCTACATCGACAGGATTAAGGGCCTCGGTGGCGCCCAGGGTCAGGGCAAATTCTCGTCGCCGCTCAGAGACCTCCACAGCAATAATAGAGCTAATACCTTTGGCTTTCAGCACCTGGATAATAGCCAAACCAATTGGTCCAGCCCCGACCACAAGTACCGTGTCATTTGTCTGTATAGGGCTGCCGCTTACGGCGTGCCATGCGACGGCAAGAGGTTCCACCAGGGCTGTATCACAACCCTGTTGTCAGAGCAGAAACAAGTCAAACACAACATGGAACGGAGAGGTCTATTCTTACCACCGACATCGAGGGGAATAGAATCCGGTAGCGAAATCGCATGTTTGCTGTCCGCGACTACGTGGTCCGATAGACCACCCGCTTGACCTTATGGCGGTCAATATCAAGACATTGCTGCAGACCTTAGTATGGCTTACTGCTGAACCCGATGAACCCCACTTGCTCGCAGCAATTGAACCTGCCCATTGAACAGTTCGAACACGTGGCGTCGAAGAGATTGGGCTTAACTACAACCCGATCCCCGACATTGAACCCCGTAACGCCTGAGCCGACCTCTTCAACTGTACCACTAAACTCATGGCCCAGAGTGGTCGGCAGCTTCTCCTTTGTTAATGGGTGTGGGGTGACAGGGACGATCGTCGGGCCAGCAAGATACTCGTGGATATCTGGGTTATGTTAGAAATGACTAGTCAACGATGGGTCTTGAGCATGTCACTTACCGCTGCCACATATTCCGACAAAGGCAGGTCGAATCTATTAATATCAAGGTTCGTTGTTAGAGACTCAGCCTCGGAGGTAATGTTACGAATGCTATAAGCAGCAATGCTAAGCTTGCCTTGACCTGGCCATTACCACAAACCGGCTCTTCAACCTCATCAATGCGGATATCACGTCGTCCATGGAAGCGTACAGCTCTCATGATGGACGGATTTCGGGTTAACGGGTAGGTCTGTTGGAGTGTTGTAGAACGGACCGAAGAATGGAGTCCGCTGGTGAGAATAAAGTGAGAAATGGTAATTGATTGAGATATTGAATTGTTACGCAAATATGAAAAAAGATCCTAATTTAATATATGCAAGTCATACCATCGGTTCGGCATACCCTGTTTGTTCGTACCAGGGACAACCCCTCTCCTGAGGTCGATGAAACCCCGCGAAGATAGTCACCTGGTGTCGCCTATCTGAACCGGAGAAAGAGACCAATGGCAAAACCTCCTGCCTATCACAGATATTCTGGGACATCCATGGATGTGTACCTGACGTTCATACTTATGACTAAAGGCCGAGGGCCACTCTGCGGGTGTGCCCGATGTGGAGGGATAAGTCTTAACGCTGGGCATATCTCGACCCAACAATACCAATAGTGCTTATAACAGGTCCCTGTAGGCCAAGTAACAGACAAAACCAAGTGGACACGGATCCAAAACCAATCGAATTCGTTACTTCAGAGACCAGCTCCAATTCTCGAGTACCAAACTATGTATCCTTGCTCTTGCGAGTGAGAAGACCCTTCAAAGCATCCGTTTCGCCTTCAAGCTTCGAACACCGAAGTCTCCAATCATCTCTTTCCTTCCGGACCTTCTCCAACTCGGCTTCAAGTTCCTTCATTCGATCCACACGTCTCTGCCGACATCTCCGCGCCGCGAGGGTGTTGAGTTTGCGCTTTTCCACCCGTGATGAATCAACGCGGCTTAGCGTATCATCGCCTTGGGAGGTAGAAGGGCTGGATAGAGACGTGGAGACGGGAGCAGGAAATGGAGAGATAGGGGAAGGATGCGAGTGGCCGTCTTTTAAACGTTAGAAACAAGACCCCTTGACTTGGTTGAAGAATATGATCATACCTGGCGAATTGGCGGAGCTAGGAGCAAGAGACGCAGAAACATAGTGTTGGTGCTCGATTGATCCAGAATCCGAAAGAGAGTTCAAAGCAGAGACAGACCCGTAGCCAAAGTCCATGACGGGGACATCGCCACCGTCATAGCCAGCAGGGTACGGCGTCAAATGATCAACAGATATGAAATTCCAGTCGGTATCGGCAAAGGACAGATCGGGTTCTGCCCAGAGTGCCGGCTCGTGCGTGAGGGTATCAAAGGGTTGACAGACTGGCACAGCCGAGGAAAAGCCTTCCAACGGCGGCGCCAGCGATGAGAAGAGGTCGTTATCGGTGTACGGATGAAGACTCGCCCATGGCGAATATTCAGCAGGCCCTTGAAGGCGTTCCTGCGTGCCGGTGCTGGGCGGGTTGGAACCAGTAAGTGGAGATCTGGATCGCTGCCGCTGCGCTCGAACAACTGCAGGCGGACATCGCTGGATTTCTTAGACGGGCCTTTGCAGACCCGTGACGCTTAATATCAAGATAATGAAGGGGTACCCTAGGGTAACTGTAGATACGAGTCGACTCTGTAGGAGTCGTGTCCTGAGGAAGAAATTGAAGGCCAAGGCCAGGTCATATAAAAGAATGGGAAGACCAAGGGATGAACTAAGGCACCACATGGGCCCACAGTAAGCATTACGTGATTGGCTGTCGATGGACTGATCCCCCACGACTCATTATGACTCATTTTAGCGCCGTTCAATTGACCAATCACAGGGGATAACCAACGTAGGCTATGCATTTTCGGATAAGCGCCTAGAGTTGCTGTGCATAGACCTTCCAAGGTTACATAGAGGGTTACTCCTGATCATTTAGACACATCTAAGCCACTCGGATTGAGTTTATGCATAAAATGATCATTAGTAAACACGCTAGCACTAGTTATACGGACTGCTAAGAAGATCCAATAATTTACCGAACAGGTGCCATTAAGATCTAGTGATCATTACAACATTAGACTACCATGTAGGAAGATGCCTTCGCATGTAAGTTCAGAGTGCCTATGGTAGTCCATAGAGGCCACCCATACCACAAGGTATCATCGTACCAAGGTAAAGGTGGGTTATTGCATGATGATCAGCTTTACAGTCTTCAAATATGAATGATTGTGATATCTGCCAGCAATACCTTCCTTAAACACGCATCCACCACCTCCACTCCAGGTTTTCACAAATATGTCGTTATCCAATCATGTTCCATCGAAGCAGCATGCAGAGTTTTTGAATACCTCCATGCAAACCCTCCGCGGTCTCTCAAGATCTGGCCCGGTGAGTAGGAGCTGATTTATATCATCCTCATGAATTACTTGGAGCCAAGACAGACCATCACTATTAATCGCGGCTTTGGCGTGTCTACTTCCATCCCCCAGAACCTTTCGTCGACCCAACTCCATTTCTCGAAGACATGGTTGACCCATATAAGATGAGAGCAAAGAAGATGCCAAGCGGATCTTCCTCATGATAGATGCTTTTCAGGATTGGGAGAAACAATTATTCACAGCATCAATACTTGATCTGCCTAATGAGTCGTTGCAGCTCATTGCAGCGCGGTTATCGACAAAGTCTCTCGCTACACTCTCTCAATTGAATCGCCGTCTCTTCAACGTGATAGGCTTTGAGCTCTAGAGACTAGATAAGTTGATCTAGCCTCACTGCTACTGGAGCGAAGTTAGAAATTACAATTCGGGGCGAAATCAATCCTTGACCTACCCATCGAGCTGATCTGGCTTATTGAGCTTGAGCTATCAGACAATGAGCTTTACAGGGCAAACCGCTCTGTTGAAAGCGATTGATGTAGGCAACAAGTCATTAAAATGCTTACTAGAGCTGCTGCGAACCCGGATATTGGAATGGGTAAAGGCAAAACAGCACAGCAGCATATGTTGGCAGCAGGTATTGGTGTCAAATGGAAGACTCGCTCGGTATGAGTTGAATGCCAATTGCTCCTTTACTTCTTTGCTTCCTTGCTCCCTCGTTTCCTCATACATAGTGGTTGATCGGACACGGCGAAAGAAGCAACAGAAGAGATGAGTTTTATGCCTAGAAATTACCTATTATTGTGGAAGTGGGAGCTAAACTTCCTCTGACCAGTGGATCCGAATCGTTCCAATGCTACAAGGAGGACATATCAATAGTTTATCCAAGTCAAAGTTGCCTCTTCGCGGCACAGTTTCTGGTTGATGTTACACATTGCAATAGGGATGATAGCAACCTTGCTCGTCTTCTTGATTCGCTTTGTCGACGGAGACCTGGATGTAGACATTGAAACTGCCGTACAACAATGCCTTCACTTCACTAAGCTGGCCAGTCTCTATTCAATATAAACCAAAGTGATATGGCACAGGAGCAACCTTGAAAGTGCTGAAGATGGGTACAAATAGGTCTCATCTATCCGCTGTTAAGGATAGTCTAGTTCAAAAAGCTTGTCTTTCTCTTGAAACTTTAATTTTGATGTTGTGGTCTTCTGACGGTGAGAGATGGCGGTATATATAGAATTCATGATCAAGAATACATTGGTTTAAACACAGACAATGAGATACCAAGATCAAATCCTCTAGTAACATGCTTGAGGTATGACCACAAAGTACTTCTACCGTGGGGTCCCTGGAAGCTGCTGAGTCAGCAGACACAGGCCACCTGGGCAAAAAAAAAACCAATGCAAAGGTGAGTGCTACTGTGAATAATAAATAAGGCAGTTAATTCTCACCAGATCCCTATATAAAAGGGATCGTCGTCAAGGTGAATTCTCTCAGGTCGACCCTATTGCGGGCCCGACTGACAGCCCCGCGGGTCCAATCGTTGACACAGATCCGTGCCCCTCCTCGATTTTCTCTTCTTCCACTCCCAACCCCTCCACGAATATACACCATGGCGACGGCAGCAGCTCCCGAGTCCTCTCTCCTGTCCCTTCTCTACCGGTCTTATCCCGCCGTGATTTCTTCCGATTCGACCGAGCCTGACTACCTCCACGCCTCGGCCAAGATCTTCCCTCGAGTCACCTTCAATGAGGCAGAGGAAGCCGACATCAAGCAATGGCTCAACACCGTCTCCGGCCTGAAGACCTCTCTCGCCAATGACCAAAAAGAAATTACCACTGGAATCCTCGGCCAGCTGAACATCCACCTCGCCACCCGCACCACCCTCCTCGGCGCGAAGCCCTCGGTCGCCGACATTGCCATCTACGCTCTCCTGGCCCCCGTCGTCGAGAAATGGACCGCTGAAGAGCGCACTGGAGAAAAGGGCTACCACCACATCGTGCGTCACGTCGACTTCGTGCAGAACGGTCGCCTATTCTCCCTCCAGATCCCCGAGGAGGAGAAGATCGCCATCGACCTGAACGACGTCAAGTTCGTGCCCAAGCCCGTCGACCCCAAGGAGGAGAAGGAGCGCAAGAAGCGTGAGAAAGCCAGCGCCCAAAACCCCGACGCCAACAACGAGTCCAAGCCCCTCGTCATCGGCCAAGGCAAGGCCGAGCAAGCCGCCAAGGCCCAGACACAGGCCGGCGCCGACGGTGCCCCCGTGAAAACCAACAAGAAGGAGAAGAAGGAGAAGAAAGAGAAAGCTCCCAAGCCCGCTCCTGCCGCCGCTGCACCCCCTGCCCCATCACTGATTGACCTGCGTGTCGGACACATCCTGCGCGCGATCAACCACCCCAACGCGGACTCGCTGTACGTGTCCACGATCGACTGCGGTGACGCCCCCGGCAGCGACAACACCTCTCTCGATGAGGAGACCGGCAAGACCGTGCGGACTGTGTGCTCCGGACTGAACGGACTGATCCCGCTGGAGGAGATGCAGGGCCGCAAGATCGTTGCCGTGTGTAACCTGAAGCCTGTGACCATGCGCGGCGTCAAGTCTTGCGCGATGGTTCTCGCTGCTTCCCCGCGTGTTGCTGAAGGCGAGGACTCGCACGCCGGTCCTGTTGAGCTCGTTAACCCTCCTGCGGATGCTCCTGCCGGTGAGCGTATCAGCTTCGAAGGCTGGAATGATGGACAGCCTGAGAAGCAGCTTAACCCTAAGAAGAAGGTCTGGGAGACTTTCCAGCCGGGTTTCACTACCACTGCGGATCGTGAGGTTGCCTTTGATAGCAGTGCTGTTCCCTCTGTCCATGGACAGGAGGGCAAGCCTGCTCTTGGAAAGCTGGTTGCTGCCTCTGGTGGTATTTGTACTGTTAAGAGCTTGACTAATGCTACTGTGCGGTAAGGGATGTGAAGGTGTTCGGTATATCTGAAAATAAAACTAAACGCATACCCATGAGAATATGAAGAAATCAAAATTTCCCAAGTTCGTATTATTATTGCAACTTAATGGAATTTACTCCTCTCTACATCGCTGCCAACACACAAAGTAGAAATATGGCTTTGATTTTTCTAATCTGTACATCGTCACACAACTTGAGGAACTAATAGATCTTAGCCTCCTTTGCTTAAGCAGGCGCTGCGAATCCCAGAGAAGGGCCTCGTTGATCAAAGACCACAAACAATGCCTTCAAAAACACATCGCCATAGATTGCCATGCTTGAGCTTCCGCTTGACTGAAGGCCGCCATAGCACACTATTTAAAAAAAAAGAAAGAAGATTAGGTCAGAACTCATACCACAAAGAAGCTTGAACGAGAGGGGGAAAAAAAACTCACCTGTTTCACCAGTAGTTGTGTTGGTTCCAACCTCGGACCAATTCATGAACGATCCAGGGATGGTGACCGAATAAGTAGACCCAACCGCAACAGATAGGGTAGGCAAGCTCGAATTGCAGGGGAAGATATACCCGTTGGCATTCTTAGCGTATAATCCGCCATGGACTTGCTTATAATAAGCTTCCGCAACCTCGGGGCTCACCATCATGAGCGAGGTGCCAGTGTCGGCAATGGCCTGGGGTGCCTGGGTGATCGAGTGCAAGGAGCCTTCTCCAATGGCGTATTGTGCCGAGTCGAACTGCCAGAATCCATTGGATGAATCCACACTGACATTGGCCAGGACGCCTTGGTACTTTTTCGGATCAATGGTTCCAAATTCATACTCACCGACACCGTTGCTGAGCAGTCGAACGCTGAAAACTGGCTCGTCAAGGCTGGGGGCGACGTTGTCGAAGAACGTATTCTGTCGCTCTGGTGTGACAGTGTTGATTGAAGAAAAGCCAAGACCGACGAGTCCGTTAGACTTGGTGTCATCGGCGAATGTTTGCGAAATCTCCGTCGGAAGGCCAAATGATTGCCCAGCAACTTTGACACCCCCAATCGAGACAACATCCTTGCCTACTCCACCATTGGCATAGGACGAGTCGCCATACTGGATCTTGAACGTGCTGTCGGGGAGTTCTTCAAAAGTGCTGGATTTACTCGGTTCGTACACAGTTCGGCCGTTTCGCAGTGACTTTGGAAGTTTCGAGCTCAACACCCACCTATATGGCACTGGTTAGTTCGGAATTTTCGATTGGTTAGCTTGAACATGGAAAGATAATGCTAACCAGCCAATCTTCCAAAAGGGGAAACCCCAAAAAAGAAAAACTTACATATCAGCAGAGCCACTGTCAAAATTCAGATCGAAGGTTTGTCCTCCAATATTGACCGGCGAGACAAATTCCACGTCCCCATCAATCGAAGTGGCATCCACGGTGCCCGTCTGGTCAGAATCCACCACATCTTCCTTTGCAATTTTCACAGTGGTACGCTTGATTTCGAAAGGCTGGAAGTCGCTCGCGTCCACCCCATCAAGGGTTGAAGGATCAATGCCGAACTTTCGGTATGCCTTTCGCAGAGCCGTAGGTCCGTGGGCAACATGGCCATTGCGCTTGACTCTCTCTACCTTGAAGGACCGGCCTTGAAGGTGATTTTGAGGAGCGACGGGCATGGCAAGAGCATTCAAGCTCAGCGAAAAGAAGATAGCAAGAAAAAGAATGAATTGCATCTTGCCCCAAGTCCCAATTGGAGATATCAAAATCGAAAAAAAAAGAGATTAGATCAGGGCCAGCCTGAGAATTTTGATATTAACGAATGCAACGGACAAGAAACGCAAGGATGAAAGACAAGGCAAGACAAGACAAGAAGGTAAACTTTGAGCAGTTCCCCAGACCTGTAAGGGCAGACTTGTTCTGAATGAATGGGAAGACAATGCCAATATCACAAAATGAAAGTCAGCAGGCAGTCCAAACTCGAATACCTGTATCCAAGAATGGGGAAAAAAAGGGAAAAAAAAGACAATGCAATGAAGACAATGTAGACAATGCAGAAGAGAAGAGAATAAAACAATGAGGCCTGGAACAAGAACAAGAAGACGAACAATATCAACAAAACAAGACAAGACAAAGTGAAACTTCATAGGGGGAAAGAACCCCAAAGGCAAGAACGACCCGAAAGCAGTACGTATCGTAGTGCAAGCGTTTGTTTCTTGGTCACTTGGCACTTCACCTCCACCTATCGGAGGCAAGTGCTGCACTGTAAAGCCCTTGGCCCGAGCTGGGCATGCTTCACAATAGACACCATTAGTCAAGACCAGAGCTCCGTATAGTTACTCTGTGGACCCGCGGGTGTGTCAAGTCTAGGTAAGGGGCTCGGGAGCAGCGCCGGATAAGGATAGGATAGGATAGTACGGAGCAGATGATATTCTATATATGGAGTCTCCTGCGACTCCGTAATTTGTCTGTTACGCGACGTCTTAGATAAGTGGGGGATTTCCCTGGGCGCGTGGGTTTGACACCTGAGAGACCGTTGGGTCTGTTAGTGTCGGGATGCCGTTGGTTGATCCTGAAACAAGAGCTAGCGGGTAGGGACCCAATCATGCAGGCTGGACGACGTACTTGAAACATATCGGAGAGGTAAGAAAGATCGCTCATTGTGACATGTTAAGTGTGGCTTGCTTTAGCTTTGCTTCTCTCTGTTTGCCTATTGGAACAATGGCATTACGTTAACGTAGTTGATATAGAACAATGCCTGGCATATTCGCGTCACATTGATCTTCTTGATCTTCGGGCGATCAAACTGTTTGGTGTGACAAATATATAATTAGAGATCTGATTAGCTATAACTTTTGTGTAATTAATATATTTTTAAGGGACGTAAGCATTTCTTCAAGCCATTTGTCCACTCTACTATATATATCCTTACACACTTCCCGAACATTATTTATGATTGTATCTATTTGTGAAGAAAACGAAGGAAATTGAAATCCTAACTCCTACCAGCCTTGGAATAAAGACTCCAGACTAAACCAAAGATCCAAACCAGGTCAACATCAATAGGGGCGACGGGCTCTGTGTTAGGTATTAGAAGGCTCGGAGCAGGAGGCCTAGGAGACTCACCTATATGCCCAGCAGCCAAGAAAGCAAACAGACCGCTTCGTATAAGTAAATCCCAACACAATCTACAACTTCCTAACCTTACCAGAGCTCCAAGACGAAACGAACAAGAGATGTGATTAAACTTGATAGTGTGCAAGAATCGATGTAAATTAACATCATACAAGGTCATAACTCTCCGGGAGTCACCCCCAAAGGGTAAACGTAATACACAGCCAAAAGAAGAGATGGAAAGGAGAGTAAAAATGAAAGCATTTTAAGTGCATAATGGTCTAGACTCGCACACCGCGAGAGACCCCCAAGGATATCGAGTTCAAACAGAAACAACTCCGCATCCCATGGTTTCGCTACCAGACCCAACCAGCCACATACCAGTGGCAAGGAAGTGTTGTTCACCAATCCCCAAATCCCATGTACAGAGAAACAATCCGTAAAAGATGAGAGAAGATAACAAAGCAATAAAAAACAACCCAAGATATTCAACAGTGCCCAAGCAATGCAGACGTGTATCGTTTCCGCCTCTAGATCCTTGAAAATGATATCCATTCCCGCCCCGGTAAAAAAAACCCAAAAAAGAGATCGTAGAAAGAAAGTAAAAATAGTGCCACAGCGTAGGTGTATCTGGCAAAGTCGTTTGCACGCAAAACCCTCCCAGAAAAAACAAGGTAAAATCAACTCCAAAGGTCATGAACATGCAACGTCAAGTAGCAATGTCACTGCACGTATGTTCTGTACATCATCGGTGGCCCGACCGGAAAAAAGAAACATAGGCCGAAGAAAGTATTCGTCCCTCCCTGAGAGACGAAAGAGGTATCGTAGGAAAAGGATGCAAGGTATTGAATCGCAGGCGCCGTCGCTCGCAACAAGCTAAGAGTATCGCAAAGGATCTAGAATATGAGGCGAAGGTGGTCGTAATCGGCGAAGAGGAGTGTATGTACAGGTCGGTTTTTTGTTTTCGAATTTTTCAAGATTTTTTTTTTTGTCGCCGTGTTTGTGGAACAAATATTTTTCCAGGTTGTGTGTCGTGTCGAATGCAATAGACGTATCGAACAAGAATGCAAGTGGAGAAAAAAAAAACATTATGACCTGCGATTAAGGGACCCCGATGATGCAGAACAGCTGAAATAACGGACGTGCAATGGACGAATGGAGATGTAGGGTGCCGGCCTACGACTTTGGCAGATGGCACCCTTACCATCGACGCTGAGCAGTCTGCATCATCGCGGGCGAGATCGATGAAGGTGGACTCGACAGGGTCATTCCGGTCGAGGGGTTGATAATCGGAATGACCTTGCGGGTTCGGTTCGCAGGCTGCTGTTGCTGGTAGTTGACATGATTAGGGTTGCCGGCAACACCAGGGTGAACGTATGAGTTGGTTTGAGCGGGGGACAAGGAGATGGACGGGGTCACCTGCTGCACCGGTTGAATTTGGTGCTGCAGAGGCGAGGTGTCCGGTGAGCCGCTGGAGAGAGAAGAGCGGTCGGAAGCAGAGTGGATGGAGTGCAGCTATAAATATGTCAACAAAACCGGTCCCCCTAATGGTTTATCCGCATTGAGATTTGTGACGATCTTCAAGGGGGAGTGACGGATAAAGGGGGATTGAAGATTTGCCAATCACAACATACATCATCCTCAGTCAGGAGACCCGGGCAGAATTCGAGGTCGTCATCCAGATCGAAGGATCGACCAGCCTCGAATCTTGCACGGAAGGCTGTCACAGCCGGAGCTTCCGCCAATTCCCGCATACTCTTGACTCCTCGGAACTGACGCTGAGCATTCTGCGAGGCCATCTTTGGGGCACGGCGAGAGCGCCCGTGGTGAGTATTTGATGCAGAATGCATATGAGCACCATGGTGAGGGTGTTGGTGTTGCTGGTGTTGGTTATAGAAGTAGGCAGACATTGTGTAAGAAGCGAGCACTCGACAGTTGAGACGATGAGTGAATATAAGAAGAAAGTTACAAAAAAGAAATAGAAAAATATAGGAAAGATCGATGGGGTTGAAAGAGGAAAGGATTAATGAGAATGAGAGTGTGTGGGAAGAGGCGAAGGGAAAAAGAGGGGAGGGGTGTGTTATGGGGACTGATGGTATGGTTACTGGCATTACCAATTATTACCAATTAAAGGAGTTTATTGAGTGCTAGATGTGAATAATTACAGTTATGTACTGTCAGACATAAAAATACACTTACATCGACGCACCAACCAGACCTAAGCGCTAACAGAGTGGCAATAGCCTCAAACCAATGATAACTCGCAGATCCTCACCAATCCTCTCCAATCCTCCCCAAATGGACCTTCAACGGCCCACCAAAATACTGGGAAAAAAAAAACGTGACGTCGTCGACAATTGGAACGTTACCCGATTGGGAATATCTCTTAGTGATGACACTGTCTACATACCAAGGGCCATCTGGAGAACTTTACCTGGGACTCCAATTAGGTATGTTGTATTGCCCTACAATGATGATTGTTGCATATTTACTCTTTATTTTATCTAGATCCGACATTGCCGAAATTGTCAATTTTTACAATTACACAAATGTCCCATTGAAAATGGCAAGCTGTCCGGAAAAGTAAATCCATACTTTCCTCATCGGTGGTTGGGGAAGCTGAAATTTTTCTCAGCCCTTCGGGGTGCCCCTTTAGCTGCAGGCTGTGCACAGGACATGGCTTTTCCCAGGTACATTCCCCCTCTATTTCCCTCCTATGGGGTGCCTGAATCGGTAGTGGCGGCTGATCTTGCTTTGATCGGCTCCCCCGTACTCCGTAACGAATTCCCCAATCCTTCGACACGCAGCACAAAGACCCGAAAGAAAACCTTGTTGGTCTCGAGACACGCCCACAGCCCTAGCTGCAGATGAACCCGCCTATTATTGGCAGGGGGCTTTGAGATCCTACCTTATCAGCTCACACTCTTCCAAATCGGAGTCCATCGATGCGGAATCCGGACTAGGGCAGGGGCTTAAGGTGCCTTCTCACTTTTTCGCTGGGTAGCATTGCCTACCCGTGACTCACTGCATTTCCCATGCGACCGAATCAAAAATCAACGGTGAGTTTCCACTATTCAACGTTGTGGTATATTTTAGATCTGGGACCTATTTCCGTATATTTTATTTATTTTTAGTCCTGATTGGAAGATGCCCTGGACCTGGAAATGCTCTCAGCGCCTACTGGAAACATAACCCTGTTGCATGATGTGCCGACCTTCCACCTTCCACCAGTGATAACTTCCATTCCATTACACGGACCCGAAAAGGATTAAGCCCAAACTCTACTAGAACCAAGGTAGCACTGAAAGATGTCTCTCCAATTTTCGGCTTCACCGCCCCTTTGGTTATTTGGGACACAATCTCACGAGGTGCAGTCGCACGCACCTGCCGAGATCGGATATATCACATATCGTACCCCGTAAACGTTGCCCCCGAAGCTTGAATTATGTATGTTGTAGTTGATCTATCCAGCGTCTATACAAAGTGCATGATTTGGTGTCTGTGAGAGATCGTGGGGTCCCAATGCATGAAATATGTAATTCAGTGGACTATTATCCTGTGATCCGATCCCCAGATACACCGCGCAAGGGACTTGCCAACACGATCTTCAACTATTCTGGCCCTGGTTAAATTGTAAATATGTGATATCTATATTACATAGTGGAAAATGTTTTCGTGCTCCGAGTTGGAAGGTGGTTTCAGACTCTGGACGATATTGAAATGGTGATTTGCGGAGTCGAGGCCTCTTTGTTGCAGCATGACAGCATGACAGCATGACAAACAGATAGGTCTAAATGCTGACATCTTTTAAAAGTTTTTGTTTTGTTTGAGTTTATCTTGATTATACTTCAGTAATTCTTACATATATTATAACTACATAATGTATTCTGTATGGTAACTCCGTAGTCATCCAAGGTTCTTGCCCAAGTGTGTTATTTGTCAGGTCATAAATGTGCTATACCTATTCTAAGGTTTATATCTAGCATTTCTATACCCTCGTAGCAAGTTAATCTCTTAATACGGAGTAATCGAAGCTAGGATCTTGCGTTGAGAGTTCAACTTTGTCAACAAACATTTTAAACCTAATCTTGATTACCGTACGGCCATGCCATCCACGCTACACCGCACGCTGGGTTTGTTTCTATTTCCCCACAACACCACGCAAGATAATTAGTTATAGCAGCTTAAACACATTGAGAGACAAGAAGACTGTGTCTGTAGTCCATGGATTAGGGGCTGGGAAGGCGCGACGTCTCCACCTACGAGTATAACCCCCCCTCTCCATTTTCTCCTCTTTAACTATTCCTCTTCCGACATTACAGTGCATTGCACAGCTTAAAGTAGTTTTCAATTATCTCAGCCCTCTCAATTTTAATCGACACCGACTGCTGTCGATAAGACTGAACTGAAACTGGTGATATGAAGCCGGGCGATGAATCCGATGAGGATCGGTAGTGTCGTCCATATTCTTTTCACGCACAGTTCTACGTGCGAGGAGGGTTGTAATGGATGTACAATGGAGATTGCCTCTCCTGCCAGGCCAGGTGATAGGTTGGCAACGAATGTATGGCGCGTGATGGCAATTGAGGGACTGGACGAAATCTGACTTATCACGCAAGACCAAGACGTGAAGTTGGTTCTGAATTATGGAAAAGACCCTTTCGTTCCCCAACGTGCATCACGTCTTTAGATCAGTGCCGATGAGTTGACTACGGATGGCTGGCAGTGTCGAAAGTAGTAGTGTCCGACTTCTCATCAGTTCAACGTTCAAAAGTAGCACAATTGGTTCAAATGAGCTAAAATAGATAGACATAAAAGACCATATAAGTCTCTGATTGTTTGTTCAACCGCTCCTAAGCGGGTCACCCATTTCCGCCCATTTCCCCATTCTCTTATCTTTCATACAAGCTTGTTGGAAAACCATGGCGTCGCAATCTTCAGAACCTATCCACACCTCTGAGAAACCAGAAGAAAATGTGCTAGTTGTAAGAGCAGGCCAAGTTGGGCTTGCTATCTCCCTGAGACTTGCACTGCAGGTATCGTGGTTGACGTGGCAGAGAAGGAGTCGAGGCCTGGCGAGGAACCGCTGTTGCTTAATACGCGAGCGCACTGATTGTCTTTAATAAGATGGGGGTGATACCGGGTATGGAGAAGGCAGGGGTTGTTTCTGAGGATTTTGCTGGCGTAAGCTAATCCATGGTGAGAGAGCAAAGGCATTTTCAAATGTTCGTTGACTCTCAAAGTATGCAGAAAAGGTGCCCACGAAAGGGGCAAAAAAAAAAAAACCAGTCAAAATATTACGGAGTAGATCAGACATACGTGGATCAGCTGCCTATCTGGGATAACGAGGTCCAGATATATAGAGGATGCGTTAACGTACAAGATGGAGAACAGCATTACTTGTCCAAGTTCTTGCTCTTAACCATCCTCCCAAGCAACTCCTTGCAGTTCTTCTCGCTATATTGCTCCCACACCTCGTACAAGGAGACCAGCTCTTGTGTACATTCGATGACAGCTTTGATATCCACTTCGCTTTCCGCAAGCCAGCCGACAAGCTTCTGAATTTTAAGAGGAGGACAGGATCCAGTTTTATCTGATAAAGCGGCCAGCATCTGCATACCGCCTCCTTCTTTCATAGAGCCTGCCAAAGCCGATTGGCCGGTTCCGGGGTAGGTGGATGGATGGGTGGGTTTGAATACGACGGCAACGATGATTGCCATAATCGCAATGACATGAGGAGGGTGTAAAAGTGGTAGATCGGTCAGATAATGATCGTTGATAACCGACCAGGCGAGAGCGACTTCATCCGAGGTGAGTGATAGTTCGGTTTGAAGTTCGGACAAAGTCCGATAAGGATGATGCACGATGAGTTGCGAGCTTAATTCAGATATTAAAGCAAACTCGCATTCTCCGAGCTTCGCCACATCTGGGGTGATAAATTCTGTAAATAGTTAGCATTTGGTTTGTTTTATGGCTTTATGTATGGACGTATACCTGGCCATAGACCGCGCGCTTCGCTGACCACAAAGCGGATATGCTGTGGACACTCTTCCATCTTACAGGCGAGATAGAAGGCTGTGGTGAGTACAAGGTATGGACTTGTCTGTCGAATCTCATTCTTGGTATAGAACCTCTTGAGATACACCTGTGCTGTCGCAATGGCCTGTTGTCTGGTAGACATGCGTTTGCCGAGCTTGATGAGCTCTTGTGGTTTCAATTAGCTTGAAGTTACATTCAAAACAATGAACATATCAATATAACCTACGATGGTTGAAGTAGATGTTCAGTAGTCGCTGATCCGGCAACGGGAACTGCGAATGGGCCACTTTATCCTTCTCCCGTAATCCCTCACGGATATCTGCTAACTTCTCTCTGGAGAATAGCCAGTGTCGACGTTGGGTTGATGCCCAGTAGTTGGCTGCCATATTGAAAGTATGATGATGCAAAGCTCATAAATCGAAAGCCGTCACGACATGGTCCGAAGTCCGGGGGTGGGCTATACCGCTGACTCCGCAGATCACGTATTAAAATGAAATGAGATACAGTACCAACACAAGAAAAAAACCAAAAAGAATCAAACAGTCAAACAACCAAACAACCAAACAATCAAACAATCAATATCATATAAGAAATCAATTCATTAGGTCAGGTTGTAATCCCAAAAAGGGATAGTAGGGCTTGGCCCTGGTCCCGTGCAAGATAATCCGATGGCGTCAAAGCCCTTGGAAGGTCAAATCGCTGGGCGCCTATTAATCAGAGCAATTTATCCAGAGCATTCATATTCATAACTTTTACCTCACGTCATCCTTTTATGTTCCCCTCGATCTTCTTCCCCCCTCAACTTCTAGGGGTCTCGGGTCTTTGAACGTCCCCCTATAACAAAACACCAAGAAAAATAATGGTTGCTCGGTAACAATTTTCATCATGGCATCCGGAGAGTCAAAAGATGAACGCGACAAACGAGTCGACAAACTCTGGGAAACCTTAGACACTCGAAAAGAGGGACATATCGACCTGACTGGGTTAAAGAAAGGGTTAAAGAAAATCGATCATCGTGAGTTTGACCAGGTTCCTTGTTACATATCTGCGCGCTTGTCTAATCTTCTAATCTGTTCTCATTTAGCTCTAAAAAATGCAGACGATATGGTACTGAGTGTCATGCGGGAGGTTGACATGAATGGCGATGGACGTATCGACCAAGCTGGTAAGCTCACGAAACCACCTCGGCACCACTCGGGGAAGGGGTTCCCTGGGCAATATTTGGTCCAATTCTAATTACCACAGAATTCCGAGCATTTCTCAACCACACCGAGGACGGGCTATACCAGATGTTCCAGAGCATCGATCGAGATCACAACGGAGAAATTGACAAGGTGGAATTGCGGAATGCCTTTTCACGTTCCGGAGTCACGGTTTCGAGCGCTAAGTTAGACCGGTTTTTCGCGGAAGTCGACAAAAACAATGACGGGGTGATTTCTTATACAGAGTGGAGGTATATGCATTCTCACTGGTCAAAGTGAAGGCTGAACAGCCTAGGCTAACATGCAATCTTTTCTTTCTTTCTTTAGGGACTTTCTTCTATTCCTCCCACTCCAGTCCCCGACCGACCTACACGCAGTCCTTTCATATTACGCGGCCACGGGCAATCTAAACCCGGAAGGAGATGTCAATATCAATGACCTGCAGGGTTTAGGTACAGACCATCCGTTTCTTTCACCTTACATTCTAGCCATCCAACACCTTTTGTACAACATTTTGTCCCTCCCCGCCTTGGCCTCCCTTCTTCCCTCCGCGCACGCGCAAACCAGCCATATCTCAAAATTAGGACCCGTTCTCGAGCATGATTTTGTCTCGCTAGACGGCGACTTGGAGTTGGAGTGGTTGGCTCTTCCCCAGACTACCGCCATGCGGATGTTTTTCCGATATTATGGACGGAAGTTGACCGAAAATACCCCTCAACTAGGCTACTTCCTTGCAGGTGGAATTGCGGGTGCCGTATCAAGGACGGCTACCGCCCCCCTCGATCGTCTCAAAGTTTATCTCATTGCACAGACTGGCGTCAAATCAACGGTTCAGGCGGCTAAGGACGGAGCCCCGTTAGCTGCGGCTGGGAACGCTTCCAGAACATTGTTCGACGCGCTCAAGGAATTATGGCGGGCTGGAGGAATACGGAGTTTGTTCGCAGGTTTGTCGTACTTGGCGATCTGGACTCAAAAGCGGCAACGACTAATTGTAGGTAGGGAACGGTTTGAACGTGGTGAAGGTTATGCCAGAGTCTGCGATCAAGTTTGGTGCCTACGAGGTTTGTACTCTCAATATTGGATTTCGTCTATACAATTAGACGAATGCTGACCCGAGAACAGTCTGCGAAACGAGCATTTGCACGACTCGAAGGACATAACGATCCCAAGCGACTCCTTCCCACTTCACAGTTTATGTCGGGTGGCTTTGGTGGAATGGTTGCCCAGTAGGTCTTGCGCATCATTAATGAGAGGAAAATTGGTTCTGATTGTGACTAGATGTTTTGTTTATCCCCTCGATACCCTAAAATTGTGAGTACATCGGCCCAAGTGATTTGTTAGAGCCTCGTGGCTTACAATTATCAACAGTCGCATGCAGTGTGAGACCGTGAAAGATGGCCCGAAAGGCAATCAACTTATCGCAGCTACCGCAAGAAAGGTATGGAACAAGAATGGCTTGGTTGGCTTCTTCCGAGGGCTCCCGCTTGGCCTTGTTGGGATGTTCCCCTACGCCGCAATTGATCTATCGACATTTGAATACCTCAAACGGACCCTTCTAGCTAAGAAGGCTCGTGACTGTGGCTGTCATGAGGATGATGTACCCCTCGGCAACTTTGCAACAGGCGCGATTGGTGCTATGAGTGGAGGATTCAGCGCCTCAATTGTCTACCCTCTCAATGTTCTCCGCACTCGACTTCAAACCCAGGGCACGATAATGCATCCGCCCACATACACGGGGATCGGCGAGGTCCTAAAAATCACACTCAAAACCGAGGGACCCCGTGGTCTTTACAAAGGTCTCACCCCCAACCTCCTTAAAGTGGCACCGGCTATGTCAATCAGCTACGTGGTCTACGAGAACGCGAAACGCATGCTTGGCCTACGATGATCTGCCAGTCCAACTAAGCCCACATTTCCTCTTCCTCCTTGCACTCCCCCGCGGCCACCATTCAGCCATTTGCGTGCATTTGATCTTCGCCCTGGCACATTCATTCCAGTGCCTTCGAATCGATATTTGCTATTTACTGGCTTGGAATTTAGAAGCGTTGCCCCCAAGATACCCACAAAAGCCATTGACAAACATGGCACACCCCCTCGCTCATGGGTGCATCTCAAATGGACCCCATTCTCATTCTTGATCTCTTTGCCATATCACCAGAGATCACAATATTGGCTTTTTTTGTATTCACCTTTGGTTGATATCAACAAGGCTTTACTGTAACTTCTATTTGCTTTCTATTGCTTATGTTGCGCTCGCTTGAGACAACTGTACTTTTGACCAACCTTTTGATACAGGGCACTGGGAAATTCACCATCAACCACATCAGCATGGCAAGGCGTCAATACAATACCACGGGATTTTTTTGATTTCCATTTTTGTTTATTACAAGAAAATCTACACGTTTGGATAATATATATGAAACATTTCTTGACCACCATTCTGATTGCTCTTAAATTGCCTAGTTTGCGAGTTGCAAAAGAGGCATAACCACTAAACTTCCTTCGTGGACCAACCCCTTATTTGGCCGCCTGCACAGCCCTAACCTCCTCATCCCGAGGAAGTATATCCGGCACAGGCCCCAGAGGAGTGATAGCAAACTGATTAATCTGCGTGTGACTTTTAGTATAATGGAACTTGATGTGCTCAAAGTCAGTGGTATCCCGGAAAGCAGGGACCTCCCAATACAGCCTGCGCACCCAGCGGTGAATAGCCGGGAATCCAGAGCGGATATCACGCAGGTTGCACTTGAAATGCTGCACGTAGACCGGGTCAAACCGAATGATGGTGGTGTAGAGTCTGATATCAGCCTCGGTGATCTCGTCGCCGAAGAAATACGGCTTCGAGGCTGCTTGCTGCTTGACGAGGTGGGCTTCAACCTTGTCGAGCGAGGAGAAGAGCGTTGTTACGGCTTTCTCGTAGGCTTCTTGCGTGGTCGCGAAACCGGATTTGTATACGCCATTATTGATGTCGTTGTAGATCCATTCGTTGGAGGCATCGATATCGGCTTGTAGAGCCTTGGGGAAGGGGTCGATTTTCTTGTATTGCTCGGGAAGGATATCATCGAATTCATGGTAAAGCATGCGGATGATTTCGGAGCTCTGGTTTTGTAAGAATTGGAAATTGGAAATTGGCTTCTTTTGGAAAGATTGTTTCGTACCTCATTGCTTACGATCAGCTTGGTCTTCTTGTCGAAGAGAACTGGGACGGTGAACCGGCCGGTATATTCTGGGTCATTGGAGAAATAGACCTGTCGGATATGGGTGAATTCCGGGTGTAGAGGATCGGGAATGGTGTTCTCCCCTGACAGTTTCTCATCGGGAGTAGCAAATCGCCAACCTAAGAGATGAGTCAGAACCGTAAATTTCCCCACAATTTATGAGATATATCTGACCTTCCGCTCCAAGATGCCAATGCACCGAAGAGAAAGAGATAAAGTCCTCGAGACCCTTAAGCTTCCGGGTAATTAAAGTCCGGTGAGCTAGTAGATATTAGTCATTGATCAAGTGTCAAGTCAATTGGAAGCTCTTTCATACCCCAAGGACAGGCGTAAGACACATAAAGATGGTACCGGCCCTTCTCTGGAGGGAATTGGGCGCCAGCCTCTCTAGAGATCCAGTTCCGGAAGACAGATTGCTGACGTTTGAACTCGCCCGACTTGTCGCCAGGTTTCACCCAATCAGTGATTGGCATGGCATTTCCAGTCTTGAATTATAAGTTAGCATAGTTATTGGAGCTATTGGAGCTGACTTGTTTCGTGTTTCTTACAGCCATATTGCGGGAGTAGATGATTGGTACTGCGGGGAATACAAAGCTCTGGTAAGCTGCACGAAGAGGCTCTGTGCGAAGAATTGGACGTGACAGATGCTTCAATGATTGAGATCCTATCAGAGTAAAGAACATAAATGGCAGAGAAACTGGAATTTACAGTTGTATATATAGGGAAAATAAAAAAAATGTCGTTTTGGCGGGGGTCATGACGTTTCCCGGGCATGACCGAACGCTGAGTCAGATTTGCTTATCGGAAGATCGATCAGCTTTGACAAAGCAATCTGGATGGTCTTGGCAAAGCCCATGGTCTGATATAGATTTGTACTAATTCGTACACAGATGGCTTACATTGGTAATCTACACATATCTATAATTGTGGAGAGTCTGTGGAGAGTGGAATAATCATAAATCTAGCTACTGTACTAGTAATATGTAGCCAACCGGCTTTCCGCGGATTCTAACCGCCTCATTTTGCGAGCTTGACCATCACGTAAGGAACCTCGACATCCTCTTCTGTCTGATCTTCGGCAGTCACCTCGAAGATGATGTTCTTCTGGTGCTCGGGAACCGGCTTCTTGCTGACATGTTCCACAAGCTTGCTCATACTGGAAGGTACAATGTTAGTAATTTGACTCAGGCATGGAGCTATAGAAGAGATACTCACGGTAGAGGAAGGCGATCCTTGACCTTCGATGGGGGGTAGAAGCTTGCATACAACAAGCTGACTCCAGAGCTGACCATGGTGATGTCTAAGCCCTTCTCGGCGAAGAAGTCGATGAACTCCTGGAGGGGAATATCTTCCACCTCGAATCGGTCCCAGAGCTTGTCAATTGTGACCTCGCCTTGCTTGCCTTGATACTTGCCCTTTTCGCTGCCGATTGGTTCGCTGAAACTAAATAGGGGAAGGGCCAAATTAACGAAGCCGTTCTTGTATTGCTCGATGTCGTCCTTGCCGTCAACAATTTTGTACAGTTCGAGGGCAACAAGACCGGTGGCCAGGGCAGTAGTGGTGGCAATCGCCGGGATGATCTTTCCGGCGATAAATTTGGTCTTGTGTCGGTCGGCCTGAGGAATCTCGTAATTGTCTGCACGGAGGTTGCTAGCCGCGGTGATGAAGTCGATGTGGTGGTTGGTGTCATCATCCTTCTCAAACTCAACTGGTTGCAAGCAGAAACCAGCAAGAGACTTGGGCGAGGGAAGAGATGCCACCAGTTTCTGAATTTCCTCCTCATCAGTAGACGAACCAGCTGGCTGGGCATTCGGATCAGGGTCGTTTTCATTGGCTTGAATCTTGACATTCGAGCTCGGGGTGAACTCGGGAACTATCATGTCATCAACTACCCTGCGGTAGTAGTCCTTGTCCGCACCTGGGTTTTTGATACCGTAGTTGAACGCATGGAGGTTGGCCCCAGCAACGACAAATCCGATATGAGTAGGATTGGTGCTATCGAACTTCAAGGGTGAAGGGGCACGCTTGGGCCCAGACCAGAATGGTTGACCTGATGATGTCTTGGAGTCTCGGGGGAAGTTGTAGAGAAGCTGCTGGATCGCGTTGTTGTACTGCGCTTCAAATTGTTGGCGAGCCCACACAATACAATCATCGAAAGTTAAAGGTTTTTCGGTGACCAAGAAGTCGCGCAGGTGCTCCAAGGTTTGCTTCTCATTACCCGCCTGCTTGAGGGTCTGCTGAATGTAGTCGGATTGCGACAGGTACATGTTGACTGATTCAGGTGGGCCAACGAAGTAGGTTTGGAAGACATCCCGTGCCCAGGCAATGGTGTGCTCAATGCGGTTCGGGAAACTCTTCAGCGTACACATAGGGAATGACTTCTCCGGAGGATCCTGAGAGCTGGAGTAGGACTCCGTGATGAAAGGAAGGACAACCTGAGTGTTGCACTTAGTGCCCAGAGTACCACTCTCCAGCAATGGCTTGCGGAAGAAGACACAGCGGCGATCAACATATGTCCGTGCGTCGACATTGTCCAAAGCGTTTGTCACACCATCAAGGCCGTTCCAAAACTCCTCGTTAAAGACGTGTTCAGTGTCGGCACCGACGCGATCGCGAAGAGTCACAATCTTATCTTTCAATTCTGGGTTCATTGCTTGAGCGGCCGCAGACGCGCATTCACTCTTGAGTCTCCCAACGTCCTTGGGACGGAAGAGGAATTGGCGGTTAAGATTGCTCTTCTCAATCTGGTCCATATCGGTGACGTAAAGCTTTCCTTTGGGACCCGTACCCAGACCCATCATGGCCCAGTTCTTCAGTGTCTCACAGCCGATAGCACCGGAACCGACCAAGAATTGGGTGACATTGGCAAGTTTGTCTTGGTATTCCTTGCCAAACACCGCGATTTGACCATCGTAGCGGGTGCCAAGAGGCTTGCAGCTCTCTTCAGATCGAGTGACCGATGAAGGCAAAGACTCCAAAGAGTCAAAGTACAACCACTGATGCACAGGACTGAACTTGCCCGAGACAGCCTTCAGAACTTCTTGGGCGGCGATGCCACCGAAGAAAGCTGCTAACGGATTCAGATCACCGCGGGCCTGGTAGCTCAGCTCCTTGATTATCTTCTCATCCAGTTCAACTTTTTCCTCGCCGGCCGCAGCGAGATCGTTAGCGATCTTTAAGACCTCCTGGGCGTCGCTATCATTGTGGGGACGAGGCAATTGGCCATCATGAGTATCCGCAAACTTATGGAGAGCCTGGATACCGATGTGCAATTGTTGTGGTCGGTCAAACTTGGCAAAGTCGGACGTGAGAAGTTCGGGCTTTTTAAGTTGATCCTCCAATGACTGGAAATCAATGAATTTGGGCATCTTGACCTGAGTGAATAGACCGCCACCCTGGTACGATCCTAGACCAGAGACGTCGCCAATAGTGAAAGTATAGGGACCTTTCACGGTGACTTTGCGAGGATTACTGTTGTTTAGGCCATCCATGCCCTTGATTTCAGTGAAAGTGACAAAGTCACCATCCTCGAGTCCATGTCTTGTCTCATCGAGTGCCGAAACCAGCCCTTCCTCGTCGATATCCGCCACAATTCCACTAGCAGGCTCTTCGCCGTTGGGATCACCCACGGTGAAGTTCTTTCCAAAGTCATTGAAGATATAACCAAAGAGACCGAAGGTATCCGTAATTGTGAGGTAGATCTTGTTCTTGTGGCAGAAGTCAGCAATCACCAGTTGCTCCTTCAAAGGCGTCTGTGTGAGCACCACTGCTTGGTAGCGCTTTAGTTGCTCAAGATCGCCCACGAGGCTCTCGCCTTCATGGACTGTAACGGGAACGTAGGAGTTCAACTCGGCGACTCTTGGGGCGGTAACTTCAGCACGGGGCTTGCCGACGTCCTCTGGCTGAAGGAAAAACTGCGAAGAAAGATCCGAGATAGCGACTAGTGCGGGGTCGTATAGGGTGAGGGATTTGACACCAGCGAGGGCGATGTTCTTGGCTATGGAGACAATCAGACGTTTGGATGAAAGTGAAGTTTGACTAATAGTTGAACCACATACCGATTTCAACGCCTAGGCCCTTGAGACCTACAATCAGAACATTGGAAGAGCCCATGCGCTTCATGGCCTCGTGACCAAGAACGTATCTCCAATGTGTCAGTACATACTCGGGAGTTGAATGCCATATAGGGATGCCGGGGGGGGGCTTACAGCTGTCGACTATACAATGATTCGTCGATCTCCCCATGTTTGATCGCTTCGATGGTTTCTTGGGGGCTATCGACCTGCATCTTGACGTCCTTTGGTGAAACATATTAGTGGCAATCTTATCTCTAAGACCAAGACTAATCATACCGTCATTGTTCTTTTCTCTGGCCGAGCTCCGACGTCGTCTTCAGAGGCTCTGCGCTTTCCGGGCTTAGCCGCGTCTCGAACAGGAATGTTTGAAGGAATGATGAAAATCAGGAGGTGAAAGCCTTGCGATAGAGCAAGTCTTTCAGTAGTGATGATAAATCAAGTTGCAACGCCCAGCGTACCAGGTACCTAGCTCAACGAGCACGGAGAAGAGTAGCAATCCGAACGCAATCAACGGATGGTAGAGGATTATAGAAGAGAAGTAAAATGTAACGTTGTGTGAGGTAGGAGGTGCGAATAAGTAAAGGACAAGTCAGTACAAAGTAGGAGAGAGATTGAGAGAGGGAGGGACACCGACGTAAGAGGGGTGGCCCGACAGCTAAGAGATGACTAATGGGCGGTGAGAGGGCGATTGGCCTTTAGCCCCGCGATACTTTAATACACCCTGGGAGCTATTGTTCTCGAGTTACAGAGTGTCTCGTTGAGAGTTGGAAGCTGTGATACATCTGGATAGGATTGGGGTCGACTCTGGAGAATGACAACCACCCCTATCTTTTCCGATTGGTTTTGAAGCCTGCTATTCTATACGCCACGCTTGACGCGTCTCAGCATCAACGCGAAGCTTGGCGCCGTCGAACGCTCTAATTCATGTGTCGCTTTGAATTCGTGGGGCGTGGTCTATTATACTGGCAGCGTAAGAACTGTTCAGTGGAGAGAAAGCATTTCTCTAGGTGAGTTTTCTGCATATACGCCTATGATGAGCTCATGATTGATATCCGATAGGGAACTCTCGTCAGAATGCTCCATGAGATCCTACTCTCCCTCTCCGGCCAGCCATCCCCCCTCTTCAGTACCCAAAAGGGGGAAAATGCTGTCACTCAAGATGATCTTCCCCTTCTTTCACCTCCGGAGAAAGCCCTCCTCACCTCCGTTGCCCATCTGAGCCGACTCCACGCGCAACTGCGGAAATATGCCTCCGATATATCCTCTGCGAGCCCATCTGTCATATGCCGCTCGGTCTCTACGGCTATTATTGGAACGCATCTAGGTGAATTCCAGAAGAAGATTCTGGAGGTTGAGAGGGCAATTCTTGCCGAGGACAGTGAATATGTCGGAGGTTATGGTATTGTCCCATTGTCGACTATCGTGGGAGAATTTGCACCATGGACCCGCCGCATGGAGTGGCTTTGGGCTGTTATCCGGTTCATTCAACCCGAAAGGAAAACCACCCAACTTTTGCATGATTCCACGGGGGCCGCTCTCATGGATCACCTGCGGACCGAAGCTCAAACAGGATATATTGATATCAAGGAGATGGCCCTGCAATTGGGGTCAGTGGCTGAGACAGCATGGATGAAGCAGCTTTCGATGTGGCTACTCTATGGGAATCTTCCTATCTATGGGAAGGAAGACTTTTTCATCCAAGGGGATACCGAAAACGAAAATGACGAGGCACAATTCAGCATAAACGTCCGATTGCTCCCAAATTTCGTCACGGCACAAACAGCAGGCTCAATACTATTTATTGGCAAATCCCTCAATCATATTCGGGCGAAACGGAAAACTTCAATAGCAGGAACCTCTACTGCGCCGGTGACGTTATATCGGGAGCACATCGAGCAACTTGCGGGCCTGAAATCACCAATTTCGCCTTCAAAACTGACTACCGCCGTTGACTCCATTCGCCTTTCTCTTTCTCAATCAACCTTGTCGAAATTGCTTCCCCTCCCGAAAATCTTGGAAATCCTTACTTTGCTTCATAATTTTCTTTTACTAGGACGAGGGGAGTTTGCGGTGGCTCTTGTAGCACATGCAGATTCGCGCATTGAGGAAAGCCGACGCCGAGGCCCATCAGCGACCCGTCCATTAGGAAAACCTGGCGTTCTTACCATCAAAGAAGGTGATATCACAGCTGCTCTAGTTGAAGCATGGGCAGAGCTTTTCTCGCTACAGAAGGAGGAGGATCCAGCCGACGAAGAACTTGAACTTGCCCGGGACCTTCTTTGTCTGTCCATCAGTAGCCGCAAAAGTGGCCGACCGATGACTCCTGCCCAAATTCCCAATTCAATATCCAAAATTTCAAAGGTCTCATTTGAAGACTTGCTCTTCCCCACGCCCACAAACCTCACCGCACATATCCGAGCTCCTTTGGACCTATTTATCTCGAGCTCTGATATTGTCATATATTCTAAGATCCATTCTTACCTCCTGGGAATACGGCGGGCTCAGATCCGACTTGGAGATCTCTGGAAACGGACTCCGTTGCGGCGAAACCACCCTACACCATGGGGACCACCCAGAAGCAACAGCATCTTTGGCCAAGCTAAGCTGAAGGCAAGAAGAGATAGAGATAATATTCGTGTTCGCCAAATGCGTCATATATGGGCCACAGGAAGTGCATGTCTGTTTATGCTTTCCGAGATTGGTAGCTTTTTCCAAGGAGACGTCGTCAATGAGTCGTGGCAGCACCTTCGCCAATGGATTGAAGGATGCTCTTCATCCACAGCATCAGCCCCTGGGTCCCGACCTGGAACAGCATCCTCTTCTAAATCGCATCATAGTTCCAAGATAGTGTCTCCAGACTATATGCCCACCAGAGACTTCCCCGAGTCTGTCCAGCAGACCATGGGGCGACACGACCCCGAGGCTCTCACGGTTGCCCACCGGCGGCACTTGTCATCTCTAGTGCACAGTCTCTTTTTGACTGAACTACCCTTCACAAACACCATGAGAGGGCTTCTCACAAATATCGACCACTTCGTCGCTCTTGTGATTCGGCTGGAGACCATTCAACGCAATATGGATCTGGAAACAGATGAAGGTGTGGAAGATGCGTTGGTAGATTATGCCCACGAAGAGCGCGAGGTATGGGAAGAGTTACGCGCCACTCGAAACGATGTTGAGGCGGGTATTAAGAATCTCATTGGGAGGCTGCGAGACATTGACGATAGTCGCTCGGGAGAAGGCCAGGGACCCGTTGAGCTAGCAATGAACTTCGGACAAATGTGGCCTGGTTCCCGCCAAGACGACAGCGCGCGCCCTGGCTTCAGCCATTACATGCCCCATAAAGCAGCGGGGGTAGATCGTCTTCTCATGAAACTAGATTTCGGCAGCCTTCGCAGCGGCTTCGGACCCGAGACGACTGCGGGTTTCGCGGGTATGCCATAATGACTGAAGCGGCCCATGAACCCTAATGGGTCTTTTGTTTTTATTGTGCTTCGTTTACGAGCACCTTCCTAGTGAAGAATTGGCGTTTTATCCTAGGGGCATCGGATAATTGGGACGATTGACAGGAGTCAGGATATTGCGTGGATCGTCTATGTTTCCTTTCATTTTCTCGCAATATTTGTTTGTGGCGGTCTTCGCAAAAGCTATTTCCTATGAAATCGAATTCAGTTCATTCATTGCTACAAGGTGTGGTCGTGTTTCCGCTGGCCTATTCATTTGAAACCCAGCCGCAGGAGGAAGCGTACGGCGTGTCCCCGCAGATAACCTTGCTTATTTCTTTATTAACAGAGATATCACATAACTATCCATTATCTGTACTCTGAACTAATTAATCCATAAGAAGCAGGTGACCCGAATTTAGTACGCACGCCATCCAACAGGGCGTTCGAGATCACCTTCGACCCTTTGATAGTCCCTGTCGACTCCGTAGTGGGAGCGGAACTGCAGGCACGTGTAAAATGTAGGGCTTGCGGAATGGGCCCATAATGAGTGGCAAAGAGGGTCTTAATGGCAGGTTCGGGTTCTTTAAACTACAATGAGCAGACTCGATATGCATATCGTATGTGCATACATTATACTCCCCAGTGGCACCTGCCCTCCAATGCCTTTAGTTCCCGGCGATAAAGAAACCTTGGTGGAAAGAATGCGTTCAAATTCCTTACTTATCATAGTAAGCATAAAAGAAAGACCCAAAGACCTTACTCAAGGTGAAATATTATATGGAGCTGTTGTACAAGTGTCCCTTGGGCATGGGAGTCGGTGTACGATGTGAGGAAGGGTTACCGGATTAGGAAATCCCGGGCTTGAAATGTATGAGATTTCTTTAAGCTCATGTGGTCCATTCTCCCCATCCTAAAAATAAAATAAAAATAAAAATTCGAGCTTGGGACTGGACAACCTGCGCGCCCATGGGGTTCGGGTGGATTTAAGGTGGAACTCGGAGGGTCCCAAGGGGCCCGGGACGCCGAGAAAGGAGAAGACGGAGTTATCATCCTGACTTATCACTGACTTGTCACTGCCCACAATTTTTCTGTGGAACTCGGAGCCTCCGGATGTCTCGAAATCTTCATGGGGTAATGTCAAACAAGAGAATAGAAAATACACTATGCTGCCAACTAGCCGTTAAGGCCGAGTGTCTTAATGGGGGAGGTTGGCATTCCGCAATTGCACAGGGAGCTTGAGCTTCGCGAGATCTTCTGATATTCCCCTAAATATCCAGCCACTCTCGACCCGGGAGAAGATCAGGGATCGGCATGGGAAAAAGAACCAGATTCTAAGCCAATCACGCTCACAGACCATCAATTGTGATAATCGTGCGTACTCCCGCCGGGTAGATCATTCCATCGAAGCTCCCATCGAAGTCTTACCGTCTTCGGCCCAAGGTCACGATATTCCTAAATAATGAGGGTGCGACCCGCTTTCTCCAGAATCCCCATCCATATAGCTAATCAGAGCTTAGGTGGTAAGCTTGGACCTTACCATGATTGCTCTCGGTCGATCAATGTGCCTAGGTCCATTCGAGTCATGGTGAAAGCAATTAGCCATTGGGTCACGCGTAACTGGGATTGATTTTTTCCTGCCAACGTTTTTATGCAGGATCTTCTTATTCTCGGTAGGCTCTCCAAGGAAGTACCGTCCTAGCTCTCTGGACATATAAATCTGTCACCCCGATGCCGTGGGTGGAATATCGGGGATTCTTTGGTCGCATCAGTACTTATTGTTACCTATTGTTTCACGGCTATCGACATTAATCCCATCTCCTCCTCCCAGATATCCCT